TAGGTATACAACACAATTACATTTCTCATTGGGAATTGTACCTTTATATAATGCATCTTGGTTCTTATTTTTTCCCCATTCCTAGCCCTCCCTTCATGCCCTCCACCATTTCTGACATGTAACTGTGTGGCCTTAGGCAAGGAAGGGCTCAGTCACGGGTAGCTCTTGCTGCCTGTGAGCACCTGTCACCACCTTAGCCATCTGTGTGTGCTCTCTGACACTTAGTATAACTGGTTTTGGTGAAATCTTACCTTCTGTTTTTTGGGTTTGGTTTTTTGTTGTTGTTTTTGTTCAGGGGCTTTTTTGTTTTTGATCACCTCTCACTGTTGTCCAGGCTGGTCTCAAATTCATGGTCTCAATAAAGAGCCCTCCCACCTCAGTACATGCCCACTCTTTTTTAAAGGGTGAAATGTTTTGCTCTTTTAGGCACCCATGATTCCCCTGGATAAACATAAATTCTTTACACTTTGGTTTTATCTAAATATTTTATTTTTTCCTTATAATAATTACCAGTTATTAAGTACCCAGAATTTTGGACACTCATTTTGCAAGTGAATAAACTGAGTTTCAGGAAGATTGAGTAGCTTTAAATTCACATTCATGTCCCTGCTCCTCTATTAAAACATCAGCCATAAGGGTTTACCCAGTCTTCATTTAAAAAAGCAAAAGTGCTTTTAATATAAGATCTGTGCAGACAAAAGTGGTATTGACTCATTTTAAAACTGAATCAGTGATAATTCTGAGAGCAGTCTGGTCACTAGGATCCACACTCTTACCTGGTCATCTGCTTCATACTGTTTCACACAGGTTCTTTCCTAACTCTGAAATTTTTCAGATGTTAGCAGCCTGTGTATTCAAGGAGTTACTGTTGCCTTTTGACAGGCAGAGGAACATAGAACTATTGCTATGTAGGACTGATTGCTGTTGTCACCTTTGTTCAGAGGATGTCACCTCGGTAGTCCTTAGAATGTCAGCCAGAACTGGTGACCTCTCCCTGGTATATCCTAATTGTAAGCATGAGAAACGTCCAGAGACGACTTGGCCCTCATGGCTTTGGAAGTCAGCTATCTTGGCGCCTGGTTCTGCTATATATGATTTTGATTAGTCATGAAAATAGATATCTGTGTATTTAAATTTGGGAGAACAATCTGTCTTCTAATCCTGACATCTGTAATACACATCCTACTGTTTCTTCATTATTTGCATCACTATGTAATAGAAAAGATGCTGAATGTAGAATAAGAAAAGGTCAGGAAATGACATTTTTACTCTCCTAAGCCTTTCCTTTTCTTTCTCCCCTTTTCCTTTCTTCCCCCTGGGGAGAAAAAGCAACTAGTGGGGAGAAAGAGAGGTGCTGTGTAGAATACTGAGACATGGAAGGTGCTGAAGCTGGCCAAGGCAATCGTGTTTGACCTTTTGTAGACACCTATTTCCATTTTGTCTGCTTTGATAGATACAGTATGCCTTCTCCTTCTGAGATGGCCTATATGGAAGCCATCTCAGTGAGTTAGCCATAGAGTAATGATGCATCATCTGTAGTATTTGAGGGTAAGCTGGAGCCTAAGATTGCCATTCTCTGGTTCTCTTCTTGCCCAGCAAGGTCGATGGTAGAATAAAGAACTAAAACATGTGATTCTGTTTTTATACATTATTCATTGACATTTTTACTTCTATATTCTGTACTTAACTCAGTGATGTCATCCATTCACAGTTATATTTTATATTAGCTCATGTCATGATTCTGTCTCTGACTCTCTCCCTCCTTACCTCCCTTTCCTTCTCCCTCTTAGAGTTCTCAATTTCTCAGATCTCTCACCAGCATAGATGTTTTTCTGATACATCAATCCACTGTCTATACAGCAACATCAAATTGGGAAGTTAATGTTAAGAAAAAGGAAAATAAGAATAAAGAGGAGGGCCGGGGATTTAGCTCAGTGGTTCTGCCGCCTGCCTCACAAGCACAAGGTCCCAAGTTCAATCCCCAGTACCAAAAAAAAAAAAGAATAAAGACGAGACCAAACATTTGGCATTGGAAGCTACTTTAGAGAAATTTACAGGAATCTTCAAATACTCTTCTACATCTTTAAAGCATTTATTATGTACCTACTATACACAGAGCACTGCTAGGTGCTATGTCAAGCCACTTTAAAAGTCTAAATTCCTACATTTTCCATGCACTTCATCTATCTTCTTTTTTTAAATTTTTTTTTTTTTTTTTGGTACCAGGGATTGAATTCAGGACCTTGTGCTTGTGAGGCAGGCGCGGTGCCTCTGAACTAAATCCCCAGCAGGATTTTCACCTATCTTCTTGAGTCTCAGCTCATTCATAGAACTTTGGTTCCATGGTGTACGTTTATGTCTTTATCCATCAGTTACATAGCACAATAGTCAATGTAGAGTCAGCCTTTCTGTTTCCTCTTTCCACATGAAGAAAACATTCTTCTTTATGCCATTTGATAAATGAGACTGTAATTGCCAATTACAATCTTGTTAGAGAACTGAAAAGAACAACTTGTTGAAGATGACAGTTCATCTTCCTTTTTCATCAGATATACAGGTCTGTGGGGGTTATGATTTGCTTTTAAATGTACCCTTCTAACTCTTCTCATTAGATTAGAATTGTAAGCGCAGCTGTTTTTCCAAAGGCTAAATTTGACTTAGTCCAGGCCCAATGTGAACATTAAAAATGTTGTCTTAGATATTGAAAATGTTGTATAGATATTGAATGTATAGACTCATTTCTCACTGCATTATTCTAGTGATCCCTGTTCTTTTGATAAATAAGATAACCTCTCAGCTTTCTCTTTACTGCAGGATTGTAATAAGCCTATTTAATTGTTACATTTTAAATAATACAAACTTAGATGTTATTTCAGAAAGCTTTATTATCACATTAAAATAATTCATTTTAACTTTCCTGTATATGTTTATTGAATTTGGGGATAATAAAGTTTAAGCATTTTCATGCCTTTAAGAACAATTTCATTTCATTAAATATTTATTTCTTATCTCTGTAATACTCCACTGCCTTTGTATTCACAAATTTTCTAGCAGTTTTCAGTCAACATTTGATTTTTTGCTTTGGGATAATTAAATGTTCTTAATTAATCGTTATAGAGTTTGTAGTATGGTCTTCTCATGATCTTTTTTAAAATTGTTATTCTAAGGTACATTTTATATTGGAGGAAAAGGTTCACAGAACAGCCTGTCACAGATTTTTGCAGTGTGATAAGAATTAATTCCACAGCTCCATTTGGTAAGTTACATGTCTCGGCTAACATCTTTTCCCTGTTTCAAAGGAATAATCTTGCTATCTCAAATTGCAATTGTTCTCCCTTTCATGATAGCTAAACTTACATTATTGTGCTTATGTTGCCTAACTTGAATAAAACTAAAAAAGAATATATCATAATAGACCTAGGCACAGATATATATGCACAAACACACACATTTTAGAAAATAAATCCTTCTGGAAAATGATAAATATTCATTTTCTCATTTATCTTCCTAATCTCTCAACAGAAGAACAAGAAAATTATTTATTATTATGTGATGTTTTACCAGAAGATAGAATTCTTAGGGAAGAGCTTCAGAAACAGAGACTGGTAAGTGTTGTTTTAAAGGGTGATTGGTGTTTTTTGTTATTGTTACTTTTTTATACTTTTTATTATGGACTCTCAAACATACACAAGAGAGGAGACAAGCCATAAAGGTCTTAAAACCAAAAAGTATGTACTTGATTGAAAACTAAAGCATTTTATGTTAAAAATGCAGAGTGAATTTTTGGCTTTATTTGCTTCCTGGATTATCTCTAAAATAACAACAGAGCTCGCACGTTTTAGTGTAATTTTAGCTGCCTGACACATGCTAGGGTTCAGTAGTCGTGGAAAAATGCTTTCAGCTAAAATTGAGTTGAATTGATTAACCTTTTTTTCTCCTTTTCACTGCAATGTGCTACACACTAGCATTTCTTTTATACTCCTTTACGAATTAAGCATATGGTCTAATCAGCATGGTAGCCATTCTCATTTTCAGCCTTCACCATAAGCAAACTAATTTGAAAATGTCAGATCGTTGGTTTTTTGAAGAGATAGCACACAAAAGATATGAAAATTTTAATTTCCATAAGTTAATCATAAATTGATTTTAAGTTATTAATTTTGTTTAAAAGTATTTAGCTTCCCATTATATTAAGTATTCAACTTAATTTGTGTAATTTGAGATCGACTTCCTCTTCGTTTAGCAGTTTCTTGTAAGTCTTCCTTGTATCATTAGACTTGACTGCAAACATTATGAAAAGAGGTGTGATTTAAATGTTTATACTATATCCTCCAAAAACCTAAATCCTGTAACACCATCATCACCTAATTTGATAAACTCCCCTAAATATTTTATTTTATTTTATTAACATCCAAAAGCTTATTTCTCCCAATAAGGAGAAGATGATATTGTTAGGTTACATGTAAGAAAAATTGTTTTTCCAGAACAGTAATTCCAGTGAAGTAACAGGACTTCCTGGGTTTTTCTTATCTCCCTGTAACGGTGTCCTTTGCAAAGCAGTGGCGAATATTTTATGAGTTTTGTTTGTTTGCACTAATTGTTTTAATCTAGTACTAAGAATCAAACCCAGTGCCTTTCACATGCTAGGAAAGCACTGTGCCCCTAAGCTACATTCCTAGGCCTTTTTTTTTGGTGTCGCGGATCGAACTCAGGACCTTGCACTCATGAGGCAGGTGGCTGAACCACTGAGCTGAATCCCCAGCCCTAGCCCTACAATTTTTGATATCCATGAGTTTTCTCACTTTTGACCATCAGGAATAATTAAGCTGTCATAATCCTAGTATCTCCAAGGATTTCTTTGTAAGAACTGAAACCTTACTACTTTAGCTGTTGCTGCTGCTCAGTATGCAGAATATTAACTGTGTGTCTCCAGAAAGACTCAGGTTCCTCAAGGTATCTACAAAATTTAGATGACTTTACTTTACAATTTGACAGTGATAGATTCGTGGAAAGCAAGTATTATGGCAGATATATCTATATGAAAATATAAGTACAAGGCATAATTTATATCATAACAGTGTACAGTCTAGTTAGAAAAAAAGAGCCAAATATATATTCTTTGTAATAGAGATAATAAAAGAATATCTTATAGGGCTGGGGATTTATCTCAGTGGTGCCACCACCTGCCTTGCAAGCGCAAGGTCCAGAGTTCGATCCCCCATACTATAAAAAAAAACAAATAAACATAGGTCTGCATTTATCTCTGTGGTAGGACACTTTAAAAAAAAAAAAGAATATCTTATAGTGCTTATGAAGATTAAGTGAAACAATGCATGTAATACACTTAGAATAATACCTGGCACATAAAAAGCACTGAGTAAATGTTAACTGATAATAAAATAATAAAAGATTTGAGTTGTTAGTTGGAGAGTGATCGAGAATGGAGGGCAAATTCATATGGATTAAATAGAGTGTATTTGGGCAAGTTGAATAAGGCTAGTCAGGCTGAATCCTTTGGTGTGTCCTTATTGCCAGAATGACATGAAGACAAGACAATTAATATAGCAGAGTAGAAATCCATATAAAACTATCAAATGGTAGGAAAGAGTGGACCAACCTGGAGATGTAAAAAGAAGCTAACAATTGCTCAGCTATATGCCATGCTTTGTTTTAGGTCTTTGTTTCATAGCTACCCTGGGAGATAGCTATTAAATGACATTCTATTGATAAAGAAACTATGGCATAGAAGGATTAAGTTGCCCCAGATCAGATAGTGAATGAGAAGCAGAACTATTGTTTTAAACCAAATGTGCTTGTTACTGCCTTTTTATGCCGTGCCAGTCTACTAGTTATCTCTTTAGCCTCACACATGCCTCATACCTTTACTCTAGGCTCTGAGAATCACTGTGTCCTGGATGCTCAGGGTCTGAGGAGATGCAGTTTTGGATTGGAGTGTGGGAAAGCAAAAGGGGTTAACGATGGCCAGCCAGTGGGAATGATGGTTAGAGTATCAACAAAAAGTAAAGAAAGAACTTGCCAAGCAACAGGTGAATTTGCAGTCAGCCAGTGTTATACTGTATAGTATGGAAGAATGAGGTTGGTATGGGTGATCCTCCTTTGGGAGCCAGAATGATTACAAGAGCTATCTTTTTCTTTCTTTTTTTTTTTTTTTTGTACCAGGGATTGAACTCGGGTCCTTCCACTTGCAAGGCAGGAGGTGAAACCACTGAGCTAAATCCCTGGCCCTGTTGAGCATTTTATAAAAAAGATAGCTCTTGGGGCTGGGGATTTATTTAGCTCAGTGGTTTCGCCACCTGCTGTGCAAGCGCAAGGACCCGAGCTCTATCCCTGGTACAAAAAAAATTTTTAAATTTAAAAAATAAAATAAAATGCTCTACATATCACTAATAGGCATTGCCAGAAAAAGGTCTAAATAGTCAAATGAGACAATATTCAACAAAGTTGAATGTTTTTTTCTCCTACCAAGTTAACAGGATTTGAAAATAATACTAAATGGTTGCAAGAATGTTAAGAAATAAACAGTTTTCCAACTGCTTTTAAGAATGCCTTGTCATCTCTTAAGAGGTACATTTTTGTCATGTATTGGAACTTTTGAAGATGTTTATTCCAGTGGTCTATATTCTCCCTCTAAGAACTTATCCTAGGAGAATGACACACCCAGAGAGTTAACAAAATCATTCAGTATACCATGGGGTGGTTGTTTTTCCTGTATGTTGCTATCAGTTAAACTTTACCAAACAAGTCTTCTTTAATAATCAGAATTTCAGTCCAGCTTCTGGAAAATGTCATTTGAAACAATCAAATTGCTTTTTGGTAATGAACATATAATCTTATCTATGTTTGAGTGAACTCAGCTCAGTATCAGTAGAATCTCAAGTCCATGAGGTCGTACTCTGAGTATTACTGTGATACTTGCTCTCCTAAACTGTATTAATGTTTAGCTCTATCCATATAACTCTTTAATATTCATTCTCTTATTTGAAACTGTAATTAAAGAATTTAGTTTAAGTACCATTGTTTGGTTTGCTCTTAGTTCAAAATGACTTGATAACTTGTTCGAAGAAAGAAACTAAAACATCCTTTCGAGCCAGGGATTTAGCTCAGTGGTTTCGCCGCCTACTGTACAAGCACAAGGACCCGAGTTCGATCTCCGGTACCAAAAAAAAATAGTAATAATAAAGCTAAAACATCCTTTCATGGCCCTCACTATACTCCTAAATTCATGTGGGTATTTTTCCCCAAACTTTGTGTTTAAAAGAAAAGAAAAGAAAATTGATTGACTTCCTGTTTCAGTGTGAGTGGCTAGAAGCATAAAGTCTAAATGATTCACTTAAAGTCACAGTAGTAGATTTCTTATACCACTTTCTCAGAGACCTCACTGATTCCTTGGCATTTATGAGATTTGTATGTGTTCCCAGTTTCTTTTTGAAGAAACTGATACCTAGTTGACATGTCTTTGAAATTTTTCATCTGTATTCTGAAGAGAACTGCAGAATTAGCAAAGATTCTTAAGGGTTTGAACAGCTTATATACCTTCTTTTTTTAGCTTCCTTCTTTAAAAATGTTCCCTTGATCTTTGTGCATTACTGTATTTCCTTATTTCTCATCTAGCTTTATCTCCAGTGGTTCTTTTTCCTCCTCTTAAATATTTAAGTATTTCCCATGGTCTTGTGCCCCATTCTGTGTATGCACCTCATAACCCCAGTGCTTGTGTTAATGGCTTAAATTCTGGTGCTGGTGAATGCCAGCTCTACCTCTGCCTGTGTGAACACATATCCCTTAAGTCATTGTTAAAATGCTACAGTTTGCATAAAAGTCTCCCTGATGCCACCTGTCAGAATTAATAACTACTGACTGCATTCACATACAATGGTACCTCAGTTCACAAACTTAATTCGTGGGATGAATTCTGCGACCAGACTCATGGAATTAAGTTCTTGAAGTGAGGTACCACTATACAGCTTTCATCTTGGTCCATTTCTGAACCCCAAATCTAAATTTCCTCATGTCGAATTATTCCATATGGATTTCCAGTCAGCACCTTAAGTTTAATAGTGCCTAAACTTCAGGCATATTAAACTTACTTTTTTTCCCATACCAAAACTTGCTGTTTACCTGTTCTTTTTTGTACATAGTTTATTTACCACCATTCTCCTAATCACTCAGTTTGGAAATTTCTAGAATCATCTTTAACTCATTCCTTTTCCTTGAGTCTATACTTAAGTCATTTGTCAAGTCCTATCAGTCCCACCTAAGTCCCGTGTCCATATCCTTCTTTGCAGCCTGGCACCTCTTACCTTTGCTATTGCCTCCCTTCCTTAGTCAATTGAGATTGCTTCCACAATTTTAATATTAAGAAATAAATAGCAAATCACTTTATTTTCTTCAAAAATTCTACATATTCTTAAGCTCTTCTAGGTTTAAACTGAATTTCTAGTGCCCTCCTCCCTCTTTCTTTCAATTGCCTATAAATAAAAATCTCCCTGATGCCACCTGGCAGAATGAATAACCTCTTCTAAGCTCTAATAACTTCAGTTTTATTTGCCTTTTCAATTATAGTTAGTTGTTTAAAAATCTGCCTTCT